CACTTGGTCCACTGTTGGCACACTATGGCATGTATGTATGTGGTGTGCGGGTGTTCATTTTTGGATGCCTGCTTGCGGGTCGCCTGCATGGGCCTCTGAGGAGGGGGAGTGGGCAGCCGGTGCTTTAGATGGACAAACGGAGGGCGGATGTGTCCAGCACTGGCGCCTGCTGCGGCTCGGGCTCACTCGCCACTCCGGCCCCCCGTCGTGGTCGCTCCGCGTGTGCGTGTCTGTGATACATCCTCGCTGGCGTCCATTCGTCACCGTCATCCTTCGTTGTGCTGCTGCATGTATTGTTGCTTTTGTTTATTGTCACCCTCGCCTCTTTCCTCCCCCCCCCCCGGTGGCGTGGACCGCGAGCACCGTCGGTAGTAGCGCTCTAGTGCCGCACTAATAAGTGCCAGAGGAGACCATCCAGAAACACGCGTCGCTTTGCTCGCCGTAGGAACCGCACAGGTGGCCACCCGTTTCCGTCGCCCCGTAGAAGGCAGCAACAAAAACAACAAAAAATATAGCCGAAATTATATTACCATTATTTTTTTTTAAAAAAGTAGAAACACCCGCGGAAATGGAGTACCTGGAGGAGCTGTACGCAATGGTGCGTCTGAAGTGGCTGATGCGTCAGCTTAAGCAGAGTCCCCCCGGTGAGGACGATGACTTTCGCTTCTGCTACGATGTACTGCAGTTCGTCTCGCGTTCCTTCTCCCTCGTCATCATGCAGCTCGACGAAGAGCTGCGGGACGCTGTGTGCATCTTCTACCTCGTCCTTCGTGCCCTCGACACGGTGGAGGATGACATGAGTCTTTCCGTCGACTTCAAGCTGCGGGAGCTGCCGAAGTTTCACACGCACCTGCACGACACGACCTGGTGCATGACAGGCGTTGGAGCGGGCCGCGAGCGCGAGCTGCTTGAGCGCTACACCCACGTCACGGGTGCCTACGCAAGGCTGGATAAGGCGTATCAGGACATCATCTCGGACATCTGCAAGCAAATGGCAGATGGCATGTGCGGCTTCCTCGTGCACAAGGTGGAGACAAAGGCGGACTACGACCACTACTGCCACTACGTTGCCGGGCTCGTTGGCCACGGCCTCACACATCTGTTCGTCGCGAGTGGGCTGGAGAATGCACAACTTGCCGACGATATTACGAAGTCCGGCCACATGGGACTCTTCCTGCAAAAGACGAACATCATCCGTGACTTTTACGAGGACATCTGCGAGATTCCGCCGCGTATTTTTTGGCCCCACGAAATCTGGGGGCAGTACACTGACGACCTTCACAACTTTACAGACGAGCTACACGAGGCGAAGGCTGTGGAGTGTCTTAACGCGATGGTGGCGGATGCCCTCGTGCACGTGCCGCACGTCGTTGAGTACATTGCCTCCCTGCAGGATCCATCGGTGTTTGCCTTCTGCGCCATTCCCCAGGTGATGGCGATGGCCACCCTCGCGCTGGTGTTCAACAACAAGGACGTCTTCCACACGAAGGTGAAGGTTGCCCGCGGCACCACGGCCCGCATTTTTCACTACTCCACGGAGCTGCGCCCGGCGCTGCAAATGCTGAGGACCTACACGCTTCGACTCGCCGCACGCGTGACTGCCGAGGACGCCTGCCACAGCACGATTGAGCCACTTGTGAGGGACGTGATACGCGCCACTGAGGCCTTTCAGCCGTTCAAGGAGGAGAGTGTGGCGCGCTCACTGATGACACGCTACCCCGCGCTTGGAGGTCGCCTGCTGTACAACCTCGTTGACAACGTTGTCGGCTACCTCGGCAGGTAGCACCAGGCTTGGCCGGCGGAGAGGCAACGAGTCAAAAAACAGGAAAAAGTGCACTAGTATAAGCTACCGAGCGGTGACCCATCGCATATGCCGTCCCTCTTCCGTACACCCGTAGGCGCACGCATGGAGACGCTCCCGCCTACTCTTCCTCTCTTTATCACTCAGTATATCTCAATATATATCTCTTTGTTCTTATTGCATATATGCAATGACGATTTTGCACAAAAATGGGCCAAAATACGTGTGTGTGTGTATTGCACCTGATGCGTGCTTGTGTCAGATCTTTTACGGAGCAGTGTGGAGCCTTGAAAGAACGAATGAAAACAAAAACAAGAGTACGCAAACTATACATACATACTTGTATATTAACAAAGTTATAATAGCAATGCTATGCGTGCCTTGTGTCTAATTCCTCCCTTGTATCAAATGGGGCGCATGCACCCTGCGAAAGGAAACTCAAGGAGAGATCCAACGGAGGAAACGGAAAAGAAAAGGGGGAAGGAGAACTGATGCCAAAGGCCGGGTGTGATGAGAGAACACCGAAAATGTAAAGAGTTCCTCGGGGGCGTACCGTGACGCACGGGCAGCATGCATTGCGCCTTTAGGAATGCCCAAACACTCCCACTCTGCTGCTTTTTCCTCCTTGGAGGCTGTTGTGCTGTTCAGCATGTATGACTTTAACAACTGTGGAGGGAAATGTGTGCGGTTGCTCAGTGGGTGAAGAGAAGGGGGTTTGCGAGCCGCAATTGCCGTGCGCCCTCCCCACTCGCCCTCACTGCCTGCCGTGCCGCTGTTGCAGTGCCAAGGCGATTGTGACCGACTTCTTGCCACTTGTTTTTTTTTGTTTTGTTTTTTTTGACTTACGCGGTGTTACAGCTCCATCTTGACGGTATTGTTGTTTTTTTTTATCCGCCTGCGTGTGAGTGCCCGTTTGAGCCGGGCCGCTTTCGTTCCATGCGTATTCGTTTTCCGCGCCCCGCGTATTTTTTCCGCACAGCTACTCCTGCCGTTTTTTTTTTTGTCTTGGTGGCTTTTGCCGCAGCTGCCGCCGCCGTTGTAGTTGCTGTTGCGCGTCGACACCGCAGACAAATGAACTCGCTGGGCGACCGGTTCCGCTGCGTTGTCGTTCTCCTCCGAGGCCAGGCGGGCGACGACGACGGCACCACCTCTGTATACCGCGTCGCTACCATCGTGCCGGCGATGGGCGTCGCCCCGCTTGAAGAGGAAGTAGCGGCAAGCATCATTGCCTTTGCTGAGGCGCACGAAATGAAAATCGTCGATTGGGGAAGTGATGCCACGGCTCTTCTCACGGCAGCGCGTAGGGCGCCGCTGGCACATATCTCGCTGCTGCGCGCTGACGCTGCCACGTTTGCAGGCACACGGCAGCAACTGTTGGCGCAGCGGGACCCCACGCTTCTCCTGCTGGAGCTTGCCTGCGACAGGGCGGTGCCGTCTGCCACAGAGGTCTTATCGCGTGACGAGTGGAGCTGGATTCGGCCGCCGCCAAGTTGCTTTGCCGAACTCACGGAGAGTGAGCGAAGGACGGCCATTTACATTCCGGTGGCGATGCGCTGCTCTGCTCCTCTCGTTCGTGCGACAGCCTCGCAGCTGCCTCTCTCGCTCTGGAGAGGCACCGCCGTCACGCTGAAGGGGGTGCTGCGGGAGGTGGGCTACAAGGTCGGTTGCCTGCCGAAGTATGGGTCGTGATGGGAGGTCCAGCGGTGTGGAGTCGCTGCTGTAGGAACTGCTGCAGCAACATTTGTTTGTCTCTGGGATCGCGAGCAATGAGATGCAAGGGAAATGGAGAGAAATGGAGAGATACCGTCTCTCTCTGTGTGGTTGCCAGTGTTTCACACGGGGAGGAGGCGGTCCTTTGGCCATGTGGTTCTGCAACTTTTCGCCCATGCTGCTGATTTTTCCCCTTGTCTCTCCCTGCCGCTTTAAAGGAGGTTGTAGTAGCGACACTGCGGCACTGAAGTACTCACTAAGGCGGGTCATGGTGTATGTGGATCTTTTTCATCTGCTCACAGTGTGCGTGAGAGGGGCGCTGGCGGCCCAGCGGTACATCGTGCTGGAGTTACTAAAGGTTCAGGACCTCGACACGCAGCAGCCCACGGTTGCCATCATGGATCAGGACTCACAAACAAAGAAGACTCTGATGGCCTCACTGCACCGCGCGGTGACAGTGAAAGTCAAGGGACACTTCTACCACAAGAACGGCGACGCTGCTACTGACCTGGTAACCACGGCAGATCTCGTGACGCAGGCCGTCATCGAACAAGTTCTGGGGGATGCATTTCCTGACATGCCCTTTACCATTGTTGGCGAGGAAGAGCCGGCAAGCCGTACCGTGAAATTTATGGCGGCATACTGTGTGGAAAAGTACTACAAGGGGCTCACTGCAATTCCGTATCAGAGCGAGCTTGAGGCCCACGTACGCTGCACGAGGAGTCAGGTGAGTGCTGCATCATGGAGGGAGCTGCGCGAGAGGGTCGGTGTGTTCGTTGACCCCGTTGACGGGACAAACTGCTTTGTTGAGGGACTGTGGGATGTGCCTCTGACGCTTGTGGGTCTCACACTTGACGGGGCACCGGTCGCCGGGGTGGTGAACCGCGTCTTTCGCTTCAGCTTGGATCAAATGACTTCTAACAGCAGCAGCACAAGCCTCTCGTATGTGTGGAACTTGGGCCCCGGTATACCCTTCATTGTGCATGAGGGTCAGCGTGTAGCACCGGATGTTGCTGCAAAACCTGCTGCTGCAGGCAGCGTGCTGCGTGTGGCCAACTCCAGTACAACGGACAGCAGCTACTTTGTCCGCGTGGTTTCGAAGCTTGCCCCCATCGAGCAGCGTGAAGCAAGGGGTGCGGGCAACAAACTGTTGTTTCTTGTCTCATCGATGCTTGCGGGGTCGTCAACTACGCAGAGTTGCGACGTGTTCATCTCACCAGAAGACACCATCAAGAAGTGGGATACGTGTGCGCCCCATGCGTTTGTCCTGGCGCTGGGCGGGGAGCTGCACACACTTCGCGGCGAGCTGGTGCGATACCCGGTGCGTGGGGGAGAGCGAGCTCGGCTTCCCGCTGGTGTTCTGGGCGTCTCACGTTGCTCTAAATTTGAAGTTATGCGGCGCCTGGGTTGGCTTTCCTCGTCCCTTTAAAACGCGTGCGGCTCCCCGCCCCAACGCGCACACAAGCTAAATGGAGCAAAGGTCGTAATGGAACTTTAGATATTAATATGTGTTTGCATGTGCACATGTGTATGTGTATTACGGTGCTAACTCTTTGTGTTGTTGTGTTGTTCTTTCTTTCTTTCTCTCTCTCTCTCTCTTGTTGCATATTTGCATTTGCGCGGCGGTGTTGAAACGTTTGCGTCCTCCTCCATGTGAATGTGTGCGCGTTAGAGTCTACAGGTTTCCATGTCGACAAACCCGAAGTTCGGCCGAGAGGCGCTGCGGGTGCGTTTCTCTGATGCGGCAACGAGCATCAGCGAGTTGTACCGTACTGCAGTGCTTTCGTACGATGCCGGCTACCGCGACGCCCTGCTGTACGTTCACCACTACATTCTTCTCAACACCCCGCGGGCGGTGGCCGGCGACGCCGTCTTGCCCCATAGCGCCCAATCGCCCGTAGGAACAACGAGTTCCTCCGCGTCACCGCCCTTGCTAGACGCGGATCGGCTGCTGCGCTTCATCCAGAACTCACTTAAGCGCCACGAGCTGGTTTCCGTCGCCTCGCGCGGCACGCTGCGCCGGCGGAAGCGTTCCTTGAGCTGCGTGGACCGGTCGGCGTGCGGCT